GGGATACTTCAAGAGCTCAGGGGTGACGCGCCGTCCTGACCGCCATCTATAGGACACAATGACAGATTTCTGGTCTTTTCAGGAAACTTCACTGTATGAGAAACTTCATCCACATCAACCTCTTCACGTCGTTCATTCTGCGCGCGATCGCCGTCCTGGTAAAAGACACGGTGGAGAACGCAAGCCTAATGGAGCCGACTCCCACTGACGAGGAGGGCTGGAGGTCCAAAATAAATGTGAGTCCAGATCCGGCCAATCAGAGTGCTGGGTCTGTCTGCTGAAATATCCCACTGGAAATTAAAGGGGAATTCCATCATATCCCAACTCTGCATATTGTAGAAGTCTCATTGTGGGAGGGGCAGAGACACAAACTACTGAGGGGAATCTCACCATTGTGGGAGGGGCAGAGACACAATCTACTGGGGGGAGGGGGGGGGTCTTCTTTTTAGTTCAGGAGATAGGAGTAACTATGAATGGATATTATTATGTCAGCACCTTGAGAATCCGTTTACCTCCCACCATTGTTTTCAGGTTCCCTCCTCGTGTCGGGTGGTGTACGTGGCTCTGCATTACTTTATTGGTGCCAATTTTTTCTGGCTGCTGGTGGAAGGGATCTACCTGTACACCACCATCGTCACCGTGCTTCTGTCCGAGCGGAGGATGCTGATCAGATATATCGCCATCGGCTGGGGGGGGTAGACAATGATAAAGATTTAAAGGGAACCCGTCAGTAACTCGGCGAGTCGCCGTGAATGAATTCCGGACGTGTCACAATATACAGCCGCAGGATCGACGTTCAATAAAGTTTCACCTTTTATCAATAAAAAGCTGTCCCTGAGCACCAATCAGTGACTGTGCCTAGGCTGAGATGATGTCATCAGTCTCCCCTCCCCCAGTGATCAGTCTGCTGCAGGCAGGAGGAAGCATTCCCTCAGTCTCCCCTCTCCCAGTGATCAGTCTGCTGCAGGCAGGAGGAAGCATTTCTTCAGTCTCCCCTCCCCCAGTGATCAGTCTGCTGCAGGCAGGAGGAAGCATTCCCTCAGTCTCCCCTCTC